GCTTGGCTTTTCAAATTATGTTGTTTTGTACCAAAGAACCCAATTCCAATTTGAGCTTTCCTTGAATATGAATGCTGCACTTCTGAGGAGGGTTGATGGTGGGATGGGCATCATCATTCAGTTGTAACACTACATCATCTTTAAAGTTGCTGATAGTATCAAACCTGGATAAAGGTCAGTCAGGTGATGGTCAGTACTGATGAAGGGTGTAAACCTGAAATGTTGACATTCCTGCTCCTCCGATGCTGCCTGACCTGCTGTGTTCCTCCAGCTCCACACTGTATTGAGGTGAAGGATAGACTTGATGTTGAGGTCTGGAATTTTTGGTGTTGTAACTGGTGCCTTAGTTACTTCATAGATTGTAATAGTAAGTAGATTTTGTGCATGCTGGTAGACAAACAGTCATTGATCCTGCAGTTTCAACCAAGGAAATAGTTCAGGCATCCATTCTGTCAAAATATATTGATATTCAAGTCATATAATACAAGGGATTTCAGACCAATTGGAAGCAATTATTGCATGGAGTGCGTAATGTTAGTTTGCTGAGTGTATCTCATGGAAAATGCCTAAAGAGATTATATTTGCATTTGCACCAGTATCAATCATTGTAGCTAGCTCATGTTGGTCCATTCATTTTGGGATATAATCACTTGGATGGAAGTAAAAGCTTCAGCTTTTCTGACAGCGTCCATGTGTTGTGTCAAATTGACCACATATACTGTCCACGTGGCCTCTCTAAGCTGTGTTGCAGATACCTCTTGTAAATGGTTGACATGCTTGCAGCATTTTCATCTTAGTTGTAGTTATGACTTCGGCTCTGAACCCAGGTAAATGATGAGGAATGGCAAATAGGAAAAGAAGTCTTCACAACTGTCACTGCTGCCCTCATCTTTTCAGCCTTTAATGTCTAATAGTTGACGCTAACCAGCTGTCGACATTAGTTTTCAGCGGTTCCTTGCTACCACCATAACGTGGTTTCTCGGGTCAAATATCATTGCCAGTTTGGTATGGGCTGAGTGCTGTTGCAGGGTATTTGCCCATTGAGAGTTTTTAAACTTTCTGGAAAATTCCCACATAGAATTGCATTGAGAATTCTGGGTGATGCCAGTCTGTATCTTCTGGGGCATATTGGGTCTCCCATTATGCAAAGACCGGGAGATCAAGGCCCAGATTTCAAATATATAATTATAGAGAAGGCAACAAACCATAGGAACCTAGTCCAAAATGATTGATGTCTCAGAATAATGTCGTTTCAAAGGTTAAGTACTTCAGATAATTCATGGACATTGCTGACCATCTGATCTGCTTCTTATGGTATTGTGTGTAAGATTCTGGCTGGAAATATTTTCTAGTATTACGTTTTCAACTATTAAGTACTGCACTGTCAGTAATGATCAGCAAGAACAAGACATTCAGAGAAGCATTGGCCTCGTGTCATTAACACAGGAACCACAAACTGCAAATGTCTCATTCAAGCACTACATAATGGTCACAGCTCAAAACCACACTGACTCTATACATGCAAAAGTGACATTTTCTGACACAACACAATTGTGAATATGATAATGGGTAGAATTAGTCATCATTAAATAAGGCAAGAGTCAATCAGAGGGAATCACAATGAATTTCTGAAGGCACGCATGACTCAATAAATAAATTGTGATTTTTGAGAAAAATCAATGTGTTTTGGCAATGAGAATAAATGCTGAGATTTTTAACAGTGAGTTCTCAGGATGTGCTAAGAGCTCATTAACAGTTTGGAGCAGGTGGAAAAGATCAGAAAGAATAAAATAAATTTTGTGTTTTTTATGTAGGGTAATTCTATACAAAGGTGAGAAATTATGTTTAATTCATAGATGGCATTAGACAAATGCAGTCTGGGCATCCCACTAGAAGAAAGAAACAGAGAAAGTAAAAATATATTCAAATATTACTGGCATTGGACACTTAGGATTGAACAGGAAATTCGGCAAACTTTCAGTATATATGGAGGATTGTTTTTACAGATTGGAAAATTATAGCAAGAGACCATTGTCAAGGCTCAATAATGGAACACAGGCCTAGAGTCAGAAACAGAGATACAGACTGAAGGCCAGTAATGGGGATGGGAACTGAGGAGCAGTAAGAGACATAGACTAAGGGTCAGACCCTGAATCATAAGCTAACAGTCCCTGACTGAGGGACCTAGGTTCAGTGGCCCAGATCTTCTGATGGGATCATCGTTGCAGCAGTGTAGACTGGAGTTACACATCAGGAGCAAGTGGAAATTCTAATGCCACTGATTTCCCAGGAATTGTCTGAGATGCTAAAATTTCTGATAGACAATTACCCAGTATTTGGAACACTTCAATTGAGAGTCCCTAACTCTGAGTGAGAGTCAGGGACTTGGGAGGGTACCTGCATGAACATAAATCACATTAACTAATAAGATTATGGTCCAAGAATTGGAAAATGCTTCCCTTGTAATGTAAATGTTCTTTGTCTCTGTACACAAGTTACGTTACAAAAGTCCCATTTGCTGGCAACTTCCTCCATAACTCAATCTCCTCTTGAGTGTCAATTTTAGTCTGATTTCTTCTGTGAAGTGCATTTAAAATTGCTACACAAAAGCAAGTTGTAGTTAGGTAGCTAATGTCTTCCCCAAACCTCAATTTACCATTTCAGTTTTCATTGGGGTCCATGTGCAAAGCTTTAGCTGGAGTGAAGGGATTTACGGTCAAAAAATCAGAGCATCCAAATAAAACTGGCAATGACACAAACTGTGCCCCAACTTCCAGCCAAGGATCAGAAGTTATAACATTTAACTAGGTGCCATGGACTGGAAATCATCACTAGTGCTGCGCAATAAAGCTAAAACTCCATATTTCCCATCTATTCCAGAAATAGTTCAAAACACATTGTTAGACCTTGACTTTGCAGTTAATTATTACTGTATACAGTTGGTGATATTGGATGTGATACAGTGAAGGAGGCTGTAATCTATGTTTAATGGAGCTTGATAGTTGGGTGCTGGTCAGAAGTGCTCAGTGGATTTATTTTATTCCCAATCTTCTCCATGTTCTACAATCAAATTGGAACTTTCAAGGCTAATACTGCATGCAAAAACATGCAAAGCAAGATTCATTCACCATCCTAAAGTCTCTTGCATTGATGCACAAAGATAATTACACATAAAGAAAATTCACATTAAGATAATTTCATTATGGAAATAATAACATATGCTTGCACTGGAGGCAAGGTTCACTCAGCTGATTCCTATAATGAGGGATAGGTTTATGTGGCCTACACTCATTGGAGTTTAGAAGAATGAGGTATGGTCTTATTGAACCATAAAATATTCTAATAAGTGGGCTTGGCATGGTGGATACTGAAAGGAATTTTTCCCTCAGGGAAATTTGTAATTAGGGACTGTTTAAAAAGGGGGACTTCTATTTAAAAGAGAGAGACGAGGAGGAATTTCTACTTAAGGGGGTCATGAGTGTCTGCAATTCACTTCCCTAGTAAGCAATGGAGATAGGATGATCGAAGACAACCAAGGCTGAGTTAGACAGGCTGAGTACATTTTTGACCTACAAGGGAGTCAAAGTTTGGGGGAAGGAGGGGGTGGGAGGACTGACAGGAAAGAGGAGTTACGCAACAATCAGCTCTTAATCAGCCAATGTTCTTATAGAATGGTAGAGCTGGCTTAAGGGGATGAATTGCATACTTCTGCTTCTTCTGTTTTTATCTTTCTCTTCTTAGGCAGCCCTTGAGCATCCAGAATTATGTTCCAATCATCCATTCTCAGAGCTTCTTCCTGCAACGGATTTTCTCCGTAACTGTGTGATACTCAGATGTGTGGAGATTTAGCAGGTGAACCTGCACACAGAGAGGGAGGGACAAGGCCATGGAGGGACTTTGAAAACAAGATATGAACTTTAAAGTTTCATTATTTAACTGTAGGTCAGCGAGGGGGGAGGGCGAGAGGCGAATGGGTTTGACACACATTGGGTCACAAGCATCAGAGTTTTGGATGATCTAAAGAGATGTCACCCCTGAGACTAGAAGAATAGCGGAGTCTTGAGACAACAAAGACATAAGCGATGGGTTCAGCGGTAGATTGTCCTGTCTCCGTTTATCAGCCAATGTCACAAGAGGTGGAGATAGGTGGTCTTACCAATGGTGCGCATGTAATGACCCCAAGGTGAGAAATAGTCCGGTTCCACCTCAGATCAAGCTCAGAGAAGGGCAATGCAGTCCATGTCTGGAGAACGGAGTTTGTGGCGTGGGGGTTGGCGGGGAATCAAAAGACAGGGATTTTGTTTTTCCAAATGTTTATTTAGAGGAAATTCCTGTTTAAAAAGTAAGCTGTTGCAGCCTGAAACCTTAACCATAACAAGGCAGACTCAGACAGTGCCTGTCACACAAGCTTGGGTCTCGTTCCCTTACGTCTATTTGTATGACCCTGGTAGCAAAGGATGTCGCCGAGATGGTAATTGTCATTTCACTGTTGGAGTTATTACTGCGACGGCGACACACAAATACATACCGGCCCGCCTAACACCCTGTACAAGCTTATCTCAGAGGCACATACTGCATCTGTGAAGGACTCCTAAACTCTGAGACTCCACAGATTAACATCCCAGTGATTTTGCACTTTAGAATTTTACAGTAAAATGAAAGATGACATAGTCCTTAAGTGTTCAGCTGATATCTTCCCCAGTGCGTTTTTCAAAACAGTTCATTTATTTAAGTGACGCTTATGACACAAATGACAGGCGGTAGTCTGAAATCACGAGTACAATTCATTCCAACGCATTTTTGAATTTCCTCAGATTTAATTGTTGTAATTCGCTTCGAGTTACTGTACAGGACTCAGTACGGTCCATCACTAGCAGCCCCATAGCCTCCATGCAAGAGATTAACAATTACTTTGTTCACTTCCAGTTTTACCCCTGCCTGCCTTCTTCTCAATGTCTTTCTTCCTTTCAACGGCTAAGTTTGTACATATTTCCTCCTACCTTCCCGTGCTCCAACCATCTCGGCGCTTTGTGCCGCTCTCTAACTCCGGGGGGTTCCGATTGCTTTCTGCCAACTCGGGGACTGCTTTTCACAACAGTGGGAGGAGTCACAGATCTGATAAACCTCTCAGGCTGAACAGGGCGAAATGAAATCCATCCTTTTTACAAGGATAAAGCAACGAACACTTCCTGAGCCTTTCTGATTTTTCAAACACCAGCAGAAAAATACAATAGCAAAATCCTGCGGATGTTGGATATCTGAATCCATACAAAATTCTAGTCTGGCTGGAACTGAGCGGAAGAGTTCAATGTTTGCAATCCAATAAAATTCTTCATGCACAAGCATGTTCCCTTTCTTTTAGACCAATTATTTGTTCTTCTGTTAACATGGGGTACATTAATTCAACAACTTTTAGGCTGTATTCCAGGTTTATACCCCACCTCCCTCTGACTAGTCTTAAACTTAAATAAAGGCAATTAGAAGGGTCTGAGGACACAACCGGCAGGAGTGAACTGGGGAAATAGGTTAAAAAGACTAAATAGGCCCCTTAGGTCCAACCAGTTCACTAGAAGCCTTATTCATAAACAGTCTTCCAGTGGATTTTTTTCTGCTGCTGATGTAAGGGGTGTATCCAGTCCAGGCCAATAAGCCTACCCAAGTGAGGCACTAGCTGAAGCCAGCAATCCTGACTATGCAGGCATGAGGGGTTAAACACAAAAGGTGCTTGACAGAAAAGTTGCAGATAAAGGTGAGAAGTTATGGCGGGTAGTTAACCTTAAAGTGTGTGGTTGTTCGGCCTGCAGAAGGATCTAGGGAATGGTGATAAGCAACTGAGAGGCAGGGACGAAAGTCAAATGACAGAGGCCAGGAGGACAAGGAAAGGTGGGAGTTGCATTTGGGAGCGGGGAACACAATAGTGTACTGAGGTGTGCTGGTGTTGGTTAAGGGGCAGCTGAATTGAATAAGGACCAGTGTCGGAGTAAGACTGGGCATGGGGAGGAGAATGGGGGTGGGATCAGGAGGGAAGCTCAGGAACGTCAAGGGAAAAGTGAATATGGCCACAGTGAGGGAGAGATTGAAGCCTCACAGAGGGATACCAGAGAAAAGGAGAATACCTGTGATGGAGAGAGGAGTGGAGGAGTATAGGTTAGAGAGGAAAGAACTCGTTGAAATGGTCATATTGTAAATATCAGAAATAAACATTCAACTATTGTACCTCAAAAACAACATTATGGATACTCATACCTCAGTGAAGGGGCACCCTGATTCCATTTCAAAGTTACCTGTTCAGTTGGCACAGCTGTACTTTCCAGCAAACACCTGCATTCACTCAATGCTGGCTTCTTTGGTTAATGCCTCTTCATGAAGCCTTTAAACAAATCCAACTTGCTTATTCCTTAACATGATTCCCCTAAAATCCTCTTCTACAACCTTCTGCCTGAGGAACTTGCCAAGAATTATTTCTCCGGCCCTGACTATCTGGCGACTGCCAACCTGCACTGCTGCTGGTGCAGACGTTTTCTGTCTGAAAGAAACTTTCACACTCCTGAACTTCTGTATGCGTTTCTCTCTCTCTCTTTCTCTAAATGAATCAGTTTATGTCCTTGATTCCCTTTATAGGATACCTTGTTGCTACGTTCAATGTTGTTCCACTTCAGAACCCAAGTTTGCAAATAACAGTAAAAATATATTACATACATTCATCACACAAGCACCACAGTAGCAGAGTTTGTCCACTTCAGAACTCAAGTTTGCAAATAACAGTAAAAATATATTACATACATTCATCACACAAGCACCACAGTAGCAGAGACCTGAGGCTCAGAGAGCTTCTGATGCAAAGTAACAAGCAATGCCTAAGGAGGGGAATTCAATCTTCAGCCCTGTCAAGCAGTATACATTGAATGGGCCTTCTGAAGGTATTGCAGTACTTGAAGATGACTGGGCATCAACGAGTATGCATCTTTGCTCAACTACCTTCACATACCACCTCTTACACAGTAAATTACAGCTGAGCTACTTGGGATAGAGTTCTGTGCCGGTGGTGTTGTAGGTCACAGCAGGATTGAACTCCTTGTGCACTGGCTCCTTTCAAATCACAAATGAGGGCATGTATAGCATTTTCCATGTAGCCATCCACAAGCACTGTCATGAGTTCACAGATGCCCTTCTCAGGGAAGCAATCAGTTTGTCCAGTTCACTATAACCCCTGAGGACCAAGCTGTTCGAGTCATCAGATTTCCCTCCATTCATGGGTTCTGTCTCATCCAAGAGGCCATCAACTACTCAAGTGTAGCATTCAGAGCTCTATGGCAGCATCCAGCCAGATTGTTGAACTGGAAGGGAATTCACTGCATCAGTATCCAGCTAAATTGTGACCAATTATCACAGCCCTTCCACACTGCACAACTCCAAGATTTCTCAAAAGCCCCCCACCTATCCACTAGATTATCTCCAGGGTTGGCTTGTGGGTGACAAGGGATGCTCCCAAAAGGCATGTATTTCACACACCCATGAGCAAAACCCCCAGTCTAATGGCAAACAGTGTTAAAATGTAGCACATTAGTCCAGTGGGGGCATCATTGAATAGGCAATTAGTTTTCTGAAAATTCTGTTTCTGTTGCTTGGACTGCTCAGGAGGAGCACTCTAGTACTCATCGATAGGGTCTCCATAGTAGTGATTGTTTGCTGCGACCTGCATAACTGAGTTCAATGATAAAGTGAAAGCTTAGAAAAGGGGAAGGTGGACTAGCCATCTGTCTGCTCAGATGAGGAAAACGAAGAGTTGACAGAGATGCTGCAGTTGAAGAAGCCAAGGCCACAGTGAGACATGACACACAGGCCTGAGAGAACATGATAGGGGTGAGATTTGATTGATTTTGGACTTTCAAATGTGGACACTCAGAGTTAGGAGCTATTCTGGCTGAGGAATTCTTGCCCCAAAGGGAACATTTGACTTCTAACATTTAGAATTTCTTTTCCTTTGTTTGGCATTCAATGAAAGTTTTTTTTTAGCTTTGCCCCAATGACTTTCTGTTCAGTTTCCAGCATCAGGATGGAGTGATGTTGGAATTCACTGGGCTGCAAACATAGCTTTCTCAAATGTAAATGTACAAGGGGCATCCATCCAACAGATATAAACAATGCTGAGTGGTAACCCAAACCCACATCAGTAGCTTGAAATCGCACTTCCCTGAATCATGTCCCTGCCTGAGGGCAGCAGAGACTGGCAGCCTCAGTACCCCAGGCACAGCTCCTCATGATGCACATCAGCACCTCCAGTGATAAGCACCTTCAAGGTTGACTGAAAGAGAAATAGAAACAATCGGAAGCCTTAACAGATTGTAAGATGCAATTGTACAGGGCTGTAGTAAGACCATACCTGTGTGCAGATTTAGTCTCCTTATCTGAGGAAGGATGTGCTGGCTGTCGAGAGAGTGTAACAATGGCTTACCAAACTAACTCCCCGAATGGCAGACCTGATGTGTAAACAAAGATTGGGTTGGCTAGGATCATATAGGCTGAAGCTTATAAGAATGAGGGATCTTATATAAACTTTTAAGATTCTAACAGAAATAGAAAAGGTAAATGCAGAAAGGATGTTACTGATGATTGGAGAGTCCAGTTCCAGGAGTCACCGTCAAAGGATACACATTAAGACTGAGAAGAAGAGAAATGGCTTCACTCAGAGAGTGGTGAGCTTGTGGAATTCTCTCTCACAGAAAGGCCAAAGCATTGAATGTATTCAAGAAGGAGTTAGGTACATGTGATAACCCCTACATGACCAATGGGCAATCACTAATTAGTAGCACAGTGGTTAGCACCACTGCCTCACAGCGACAGGGATACAGGTTCAATTCCACCTTCAGGACACTGTCTGTGTGGAGTTTGCACATTCTCCTCGTGCCTGCATGGGTTTCTTCCGATGCTCTGGTTTCCTCCCACAGTCCAAAGATGTGCAGGTCAGGTGGATTGGCCATGCTAAATTGCCCATAGTGTTCAGGGATGTGTAGGTGAGGTGCGTTACAGGGAAAATGTAGGGTGATGGGTCTGGGTGGGATGCTCTGAGGGTTGGTGTGGACTTGTTTGGCCGAAGGGCCTGTTTCCACACTGTAGGGATTCTATGATGATCCACATGGAAGTCATTGAGTTCCCATGGTAACAGCCAATAGACTGACCAGCTGGAACTCATCACCTGAGCCCTGTGCAGTGGTAGTATCCTACCCCTGGACCAGGAGGACTGAGTTCACCTGCTCCAGTGGTGTGTAATAACATCTCTGAACAGATTGATTAGAAAAATTGCTTTTTTTGAAAAGCAGACACTTTGGGGTCCTCTTGTGGTGCAGTGGTAGCATCCCTACCCTGGACCAAGAGGCCCGTGTTCAAGTCCCACCTGTTCCAGAGGTGTGTAATAATATCTTTGAATAGGTTGATTAGAAAAATAGATTTAATTTAAAAAATCAGACAACCAGAAAGGCTCTTGTGGTGCAGTGGTAGTATCCCTACCTCTAAACCAAGAGGCCTGAGTTGAAGTCCCACTTGCTCTAAAGGTGTGTAATAACATCTCTGAATATGTTAGTGAGATAAATAGAATAAATACAAAAAAATAAAATTTATAAAGCAGACCACCACAAAGGCTCTTGTGGCGCAGTGGTAGTGTCTCTATCTCTGAGCCAGGAGGCCTGGGTTCAAGTCCCACCTACTCCAGAGGTGTGCAGTAACATCTCTGAGCTGGTTGATTAGAAAGAGATACTGTGGAGTGTGGAGAATACAGTGCTTCATTTCCCTCTCCAGCTCCATTTTGATTGAGCCTCTTCTCACTCTCCCTATCCCTTCCTCAATTAGAGTCATAGAGTCAAACAGCATAGAAACAGACCCTTTAGTCCAACCAGTCAATGCCAAATGTAATCCCAAACTAAACTAGTCCCACCTGCCTGCCCCTGGCCATATCCCTCCAAATCTTTCCTATTCATGTATCAATCCAAATATCTTTTAAACGTTGTCATTGTACCCACATCCACCACTTCCTCAGGAAGTTCATTCCACATGTGAACCACCCTCTGTGTAAAATATTTGCCTGTTATGTCTTTTTTAAATCTCTCTCATCTTACCTTAAAAATGTGTCCCCAGTCTTGAAATTCCTTATCT